TGCCTTCTCGGCCCTCAAAAATATTTTGTGCTCGCCGCCCGTGCTTCGCATCGCAGATCCTTACCACTCGTTCGAGCTCGTCACCGACGCAAGTGACATCGCTGTGGGAGCATTGCTGTTGCAAGACTTCGGGAACGACCTTCAACCAATCGCGTACGAGTCTCTCAAACTTCACCCGCCTGAACGCAACTACCCGATACACGACCGCGAGATGCTGGCGACCCTGCACACGTTCAAGGTGTGGCGGTGCTACCTGAAAGGAGCCGACGTGACAGTACGAACAGACCATCGTGCACTACAGTACCTCCATGCCCAACCGAACCTCAATCCGCGTCAGATTCGCTGGTTGGACTATCTGGAGTCCAACTTCCATTACACCGTCATGTACAAAAAGGGAGCGTCGAATATCGCTGACGCACTCACCCGCCCCACTGCCCAACTTCACGCCATCCTACTCGCCCAAACCAACCCACTGTTAACACGCCTATTCACCCACGGATACTGTACCGACCCATTCTTCACGACCGGAAATTCACAGCAACTGGCAGAAGCAAAAGGAGTCTATTACATAAAAACAGGCACCAACTGCATTTGGGTACCCGCGTACTCACTACTGAGGGAAATGCTACTGCATGAGGTAGAAAAAACGCGACAGCAACTGCAGTGGTATTACTACTGGCCGGGGCTGTTGACCGACGTACAGCACCACGTGGGCTCGTGTCCTACGTGTCAGATGATGAAAAGCTCGCGAAAAAAAAAAAAACAAACAAACAAAAACAAAAACAAAAAGGCGGGTCAGTTGTGGCCGATTCCACCGCCCGAGCGCGCCTGGCAGCAGGTTACCATGGATTTTGTCACGGGGTTACCTTCGAACTCTGGGGGTAATGTCGCAGTTATGGTCGTCTATAGACTGACAAAAATGGCTCACTTCGCTGCGTGCAGGAAATCGGTCTTAGCCGAAGAAACCTGCTCGCCTGTTCATCGCAACCATCGTTCGGCTGCACTGGATACCAGCCGCGATAATCAGCGACTGCGACACGAAGTTTACCAGCAACTTCTGGAAAAACCTTTGGGAACAGTTCGGGACCAGTCTACAGTTCAATTCGTCGTACCACCCCGAGACCGACGGTAAAACGGAGCAGACGAATTAAACCATGGAGCAGCTGATTCTTTCAGAACTAACTGTGCAAGAATGATTGGATTAGCAAGAGTTGGGGTACAAATACTAACCCTAGAAGTGCTGTACCCCATAAGGAGTGCTAGCAGTGGCAGCACGAGCAGCAGCAGCAGTAGTAGCAGCAGTCGTAGCAGTAGCAGTAGGAGCAGCAGCAGCGGCGCACTGGGCAGCAGGGCGCACTGGCGCGTTTAGGGTTGCGGGGCGCGCTGGTGCGATTAGTAGCGGGGCGCGCTGGTGCGCTGGGGTGCGGGGCAACGCTGGGCTGCGGGGCGCGTTGGCATGCTTAGGGCTGTGGGGCGCGCTGGCGCGCTTCGCAGTGGGGCGCGCTGGTGCGCTGAGCTGCGGGGCGCGCTGGTGCGCTTAGCAGCGGGGCGCGCTGGCGCGCTGGGCTGCGGGGCGCGCTGGCGCTAGGCTGCGGGGCGCGCTGGCGCAGGAGCTGCTCATGGGCAGAAGGGACGCGCAGGGCAGGGGCTGCTCGCGGGCAGCCGGGGCGCTCGGGGCAGGGGCTGCTCGCGGGCAGCAGGGGCGCGCGTGACAGTAGGGCAGCGCGCTAGGGCAGGCGGTGCGAGTAGCTGCAGGGCAGCGTGACACTGTGCGAGAGGGCCGGACAGCGCAAGGGCGCTTCGGGCAGGAGCTAGCGGAACGATCGGTGGGCCCTAAAAACCTAAGAGGTTTCCTGCTCTGAATACCATTTCAGAATTAACTGTGCAGGAATGATTGGATTAGCAAGAGTTGGGGTACAAGTACTAACCCTAGAAATGTTGTACCCCATAAGGAGTGCCCCACTATAGCCTACAAGTAAGATTGTACTTTGACAGATTTGTGCCACGTGCGACGACCCGACAACATGGGAGCAGCAGCTGCCGCTGATCGAGTTCGCGTAGAACAATGCCACGTCAGCAACAACGCAGCAGTCCCCGTTTTACCTGAACTACGGGCAAAATCAACAGTGCCCATGACGCCGAGTCCGGACAACCCAACGCCACGCGCACAACAATTTGCCGAGATTCTGCAAGCTGCCCGCACCAGAGCCGCAGAAGCGATTAAAAAGACAAATGTCATCGCTAAGAGAAATGCTGACCGCCACCGCCGCCCAGTCACGTACCAGTCAGGAGACTATGTACTGCTCGACACACCGAATTTAAGACTGCCCGTCGTACCGAAACTTCGACCGCGATACTGTAGACCGTTCCAAATCAGCCACATGATCACCCCAGTTACCGCCCATTTACTATTGCCGACAGACTGGTACATCAGCCCATCATTCCACGTACATCCCAACCACGAGCCAACTGCCTCGTCACCACCCGTAGTGAAAGGATTTTTTCAGCATTCCTTACCGCGTTCTTCAACATCGCGTACAGCAGCAGCCGTTGTTCGCCCGTTACTGCTAACGGGGCTTCGCCAACTTCGCGCGCAATGTTTTACCAAAGCTTGCACTGCTGGCCTGGCCAAGTCGGCCCTCGCTTCGGGACTAGCCCGAACCTTGATGCCAGCCTAGCAATAGCTAGCTCGCACGCACCGCGTAACCGTTGCATGTTTTCGCACTTAAGTAATCGCTCATGCCTTCGCTCATACTTAGTACTTCTGACCCACATAGTGCAATCCTCGCTACCTCGTTCCATTGCACCCGTAACAACAAGATTCGGACTACAACGTACATTGTAGTCAACGCGGGTATAACCTCAACGCGGATGTTTCATCACCATCTCTTCTCGGCCGTAGTCTGTTGGTTACTTGCGCGCGCCGCGGTAATCCCAAGGACGCTGAGCAGTAGTTTGAGTCCCACCGCCTCGACTCAGCTGTCAGGCTCGCGCATTTGCTGCGCTGCGACACGAAGTCCCTTTTCCTCACCTTTTACAGGCCTCGGCCGCTCGTTGCGAGCAGTGCGTGTGCGCCGGCCATGGCGCTCACACCACCGCCATCCTTATTCCCGTTCTGCGGCTGTGGGGGAAAAATGTCGGCGTCGATTCCCGACAGCCGTCCGATTTTAAACTTGTCAGATTCATCACTGAAAGATGTAGGTTCCTGTACGGCTTACGGCTTGGCACCCGCTACTGCCTGTATTCAACTGGCGAAAAGCCGATGCAGCTCTGCTCTTGGAAGCTGGTGTTGTCGACACAACCGTTGCAAAATATCTGTGACCTATTTTCCCTTTCGGGAAAGCCGTGTCGTTGAATCAGATTAGCCACTTCTGTTCTGAAGCTGCTCGCGTCAGGGTGCGGCGAGAGGTATTCCAGAATGACAAATTATTACGCTCCGCTGTCATGTATCTACTCGGAAGGCTGTGAAGGTGAAGGTCAGGAAATTCGTGCGGCAAGGGATGTTGATGCTCCGTCGAATGATTTGACGGATTCCGTTGCATCACGTCAGACGCACGGTCAGATACTGATCGACGAAGCAGCTCGTGGTTATGGAAAATCTCAAACGCTCAGAGCTTCCAATTCATGCTCAGGCTCTTGCTCCGGCTCAGGCTTGGGCTCGAGCTCGGGCTCAGGCTTGGGCTCGAGCTCGGGCTCAGGCTTGGGCTCGAGCTTGGGCTCGGATTCATGCTCGGGCTCGCTTGAGTGAGCTTCTCAAGCTGTTCTGGTCGTGGTTTCGATAGTCATGCTCGTGGCCTCTGGCCAAGATTATTGTTCTCTACTCTGTAAATGAATGTTGGTTGAGACGACGGATTATCACAGGCATCTTCTGAGGCGCCTCAGCGCCTTTTGAGTCGACTCAAAAGTCAGGATGTCTTTTGAGTCGACTCAAAAGTCAGGATGTCTTTTGAGTCGACTCAAAAGTCAGGATGTCGGTTGAGACTGCGGATTATCAATGGCATCTTCTGAGGCGCCTCAGCGCCTCAGGAGGCATGTTTTGAGGCGCCTCAAAGAAGTTCACTGGCGGCGGATTATCACAGGCATCCGCGTCTGAGCACACCCTTTTCCGTTCCGGACTTCTGTTTCGTTCTGTTATGTAATTGTTTCTGTTGCTCAGTTGCCTTTGAGAGAGTCCTAGTTGCCTCTTGTATTTGTGCTTCCCATGAATGATGAAGTGTTGTCTTGTCTGTCTATGCGTCTGTTTATGCTGTATCAATTGACTCACTGTTCGTGACCGATACGAATTTCCAAACTTGTACCTCTGCCACGTCATCACTGCCTACCAACCGGCAGCAGCCACACACCCGTCTGACGTGGCGGCTCTTCAGCGCTTCCACTCACTTGTCTACACCATCGCTAGCAGCAGCCGTGCCAACAGCACCAGGGGCAACAGCAGCAGTAGTGGCAACAGCAAAAACAGCAGAAACGGCAGCAGAGTGATCGCTGGCAGGGAAGGAAAGAAGGTGCCTGGAGTGCCAGGCTGGTTCCCCTCGACCAACTCTGACCCATGCCAAGACTCCTTCCCAGGACTGCAGTGCTCCAATGACCAGCCTCCACGTGTCACTGGGTTAGTCCTGGCTTTCTCTCTCCCTTTCCCCCACTTTCCACCCTCACCCTGCACTTCTCCGACCTCCCCCATTCCCTTCGCTCTCTCCTACTTCATCCCCCTCTCTGTTGTTGTTTCATGGGTTTCTTAGGCTTACTCTTCCTCCTCTCCTCCTGAAGCCTCTCGTTCTATCTCAGCGTTTTTTTCCCCACCTGGTCTTGTTCCTTCTGTACGTGTCTGCGTCGGTACGTTCTTAGACTGAACCACTACTCCCAGTGACTCTTGAGTCAATCAAAACTCACCTTGTCTTCACGCTTCCACGCTGTGTCCCTGTGTCTGTGTGCCCGTTTGTCTCTCTATGCGTGTGTGTCCACCCTATGACGGTGTGTCTGTCTATCTGTCTCTGCACCACCAGCCTCGGACTCTATTCTCAGGGGCTGCATGGCTCGTCTCTGAGAGCCATCGCGCTGCTGACTCGCCTTGAATTCATTGACCTCGAGGTATGTAGATGCCTTGATGGGAGGGGGACTGTGCAGGTAGCATACTGCATCTCGTTGAGAAAACTCAAAAGGCCTGCACGCGAAGCAATGATGCCCTCCTTTGGGTATCTCAATCCGTTCACATGAAACGAATCCGGTCCTGTGCTTCCTCTTCTTCCCATCCACCACCAGCCCCTTCTCAAATTTACTACGTCTCTTCCCCTTCTCAAATTTACTACGTCTCTTCCCCTTCTCAAATTTACTACGTCTCTTCCCCTTCTCAAATTTACTACGTCTCTTCCCCTTCTCAAATTTACTACGTCTCTTCCCCTTCTCAAATTTACTACGTCTCTTCCCCTTCTCAAATTTACTACGTCTCTTCCCCTTCTCAAATTTACTACGTCTCTTCCCCTTCTCAAATTTACTACGTCTCTTCCCCTTCTCAAATTTACTACGTCTCTTCCCCTTCTCAAATTTACTACGTCTCTTCCCCTTCTCAAATTTACTACGTCTCTTCCCCTTCTCAAATTTACTACGTCTCTTCCCCTTCTCAAATTTACTACGTCTCTTCCCCTTCTCAAATTTACTACGTCTCTTCCCCTTCTCAAATTTACTACGTCTCTTCCCCTTCTCAAATTTACTACGTCTCTTCCCCTTCTCAAATTTACTACGTCTCTTCCCCTTCTCAAATTTACTACGTCTCTTCCCCTTCTCTCCCCCCCCCCCGGCCCCCCTCCCCTCTCCCACCTCCCTGCAGAGCAACGCCTTTCACTGCTGCCTGCCCAAAACCTTCTCCCGCCTCCTCCACCTCACCTACCTGGACGTTTCCAAGAACCTTCTTTACGGCCCGCTGCCAGACTTCTCTCACCTGCCTCTAGAATTCCTCTTCCTCGACCGCAACCGCCCCGCCCCCGCCCCTGCCCCTTCCCCTGCCCCTGCCTCGCTCTCTCCCCCTTCCTGTGCCCCCGCCTCTGCCCCTGCCGCTGCCCCTGACACTGCCTCACCCTCTGCCTCTGCTCCTGCTGCTGCTTTTGCCTCTGGCCCAATTCTGAGCGGAGGGCTTACTTTCCGTGCTCCGCGTGCGCAAAGGTGGTGTGGCCTCACAGGAGGGATTCCGGCAGGGCTGGCGAATGTGACCACTCTGCACACCCTCGATCTCTCATTCAACTCCCTCTCCGGTGAGACTGCCTTGTTGCCTTGTTGCCTTGTTGCCTTGTTGCATTGTTGCATTGTTCTCCTTGTGCTTTTACACTGCTTGATTATAGATGCTTCAGGGGAAGGAAGGGTACCAACAGGGTTGGCGAATCTCTCATTCAACTCCTTGTCTTGTGAGACTGCCTGCCGGTATCCCTCCCTTGAAAATGAGACTGCCTGCTGCTGACCCACATCCGTGTGTTCCTCATTCCCCTCTGTGTCTGGTGCTCTTCAGGCCTCACTTCTCGCCACACTTGCGAATGGTCTGCTGGGCAGTCATCTCTCACAGAATGGGACCATCTCAATCCCTCATCCTCACCCCGCTGTTCCCGATTTCCTTCCTTCCCCGCTGCTCCTCAGGCGCCATTCCTGCCCGCCCTCACATCTCGCCTCACTCGTCTGCTGCACCTGGGCCTGCACAGCAACCAGCTCTCATCTCATGAGACCTTATAAACCCAAGTTCCTTCCCCCTCGTGTCCTCCGCTCCCTTCTCTCCCCTCCGCTCCCCTCTCTCTCCTCTGCTCTCCTCTCTCTCCTCCGCTCCCCTCTCTCTCCTTTGCTCCCCTCTCTCTCCTCTGCTCCTCAGGCGCCATCCCTGCTGCCCTCACTGCGCGCCTCACTCGCCTGCTGCATCTCGGCCTGCAGAGCAACCAGCTGTCAGGCGCCATTCCGCCCCTCGACCAGCTGAAGCAGGTGGGTGTGCTACCTGCCATGCCACCGATACTGGATCGAACCCTTGCCAACCCATGTCTCACTCCTCCCCACGCATCACTCCCACCATCTCACTCCCCACATCTCACTCCCCACATCTCACTCCCCACATCTCACTCCCCACATCTCTCTCCCCACATCTCTCCCCCCACATCTCTCTCCCCACATCTCTCTCCCCACATCTCTCTCCCCACATCTCTCTCCCCACATCTCTCTCCCCACATCTCTCTCCCCACATCTCACTCCCCACATCTCTCTCCCCACGCATCACTCCTCCTTCCTTTCCGCTGTTCTTCCCCTCCCTGCCCTCACTCCCGCTCTTCCCCTGTTCCTCCCCTTCCCCTCGGGTGTCCACCAGCTAGCAACGCTCCAGCTGGCCTTCAACCCATTCACACCAGCGCCCCTGCCCCCCTCCATCCCTCGTCTCACCTCCCTCGTTCTCGTCCTCGATCTATCCGCCACCAACCTCCGGGGTCCCCTCCCCGACCTCTCCGCTCTCGTGGGCGTCTCCGATCTGCTCCTCGACTTCAACGGCCTTGATGGGCCGTTGGATCCCAAGAACTTGCCATCTGGACGGCTAGGATTTTTCTCAGGTGAGCACTCGCTCTGATTGGTCCTTTCCTGCACTAACCCCTCGCACAATGCATCTCGCCTCACCTCCCTCGTTCTCGTCCTCGATCTCTCAGCCACCAACCTCCGGGGGCCCCTCCCCGACCTCTCTGCTCTCGTGGGCGTCTCTGATCTGCTCCTCGATTTCAACGGCCTCGATGGCCCATGAAACCCATTCTTCTTGCCTTCTGGACGTCTGGGATTCTTTTCAGGTGAGCATTTGCTCTGATTGCCCCTGTCTGGTGCAACCCCCGCACTGCAGACAACCACGTCGATCTCCCTCTAGTTATATTTTCTCCCTCTAGTTATCTTTTCTCCCTCCCAACCACGCAGCCCACAGCAACAGCTTCTCTGGCCCCATGAGCCCCCACCTGGCCGTGCCCCTACTGCCCCCTTGGCATCTCCTGTCTTTTCCACTCGCCATCCTCCCAACAGCTTCTCTGGCCCCATGAGCCCCCACCTGGCCGTCCCCCTGGCGTTCCCCATCTTCTCCATCCTCCACTCAGGACTCATCCTCTCCTCTCCCATTCCCCTTTTCCCGCTCCCCCCTCCCCTCCTTCCCTTCTCCCCACCCCATCCTTCCCATCCCATCACCCTCTCTCTCCTCCTTCCTTTCTCAGCCCACAGCAACAACTTCTCAGGCCCAATCGATCCCCGCCTGGCCATCCCCCTGGCGTCGCCCATCTTTTCAATCCTCGACTCGGGGCTCATCCTCGCCAACAATTCCTTTTCGGGCAGCCTGCCGGGCAGCCTGGGCAGGCTGGTGCAGTCATACGTGGTTGACGTGTCGCACAACCATTTGTCTGGCCGCATCCCTCCTTCCTTCGGCTCTCTGTACCAGGTCCGTGCTTCTAGTCACTTCCCTTTCAAGCACCTGTATGAGGTTCCTTCTTTAGTGACTTTTGGGGTCGATGGAAATGTCACCTCACCGCATCCCTCCTTCCTTTGGCCCACTATGCAAGGGCCAAGCAGGTATTTCAAGACATGGTGAACAGGGTAGCCACTTCGAGTACTCGTCTCTTCTTCTCACCGCCCGTCCCTTTCGTTCCGTTGATCTTCCCTAAGTTCGCAGCTCATCCGCCTCCTCCTCAACCACAGCACATTCACCGGTGCCACTTCCATTGAGCTGGGCAGTGAGGGCTATTGAACGGAAGGAAGGCGTTATGGCTCCTCACTGCCTCGCCCAACCCCTTCCCTTACCTTCCCCAACCCCCTCCGTCGCTTCCCTCTCTCGCAGCTCACTCGCTTCCTCCTCAATGAAGGTGTTGGACTGAAGGTGTTACAGCTCCTCTGTAGCTCACCCAACACCTTCTCTTCCCATCACCACCACTTCCCTCCCTTCCCTCTCCGCAGCTCACCCGTTTCCTCCTCAATGACAATGCAATCACCGGCACCATCCCCAGGGAGTTGAGCATAGCCACCGGCCTCAGGGTGTTACGGCTCGCTGGTAACCGCCTCACCGGTACCATTCCTGCCACTTTCACTGCGCTCACACGCCTTCAGGTACGTCACATGTTCCTAAAACTCTCTTCTTTAAGTTAACAAACATCTCGAGTTTGTTTCACTCCGAACCTATTTCTCTTTCTCCCAACTCACCAACAAATCAGACCTTCTTTACCTGTTGCCACATTTTTCCTAAGCCTGATACTTGTCCTTCCCTAAAGCAAGCTTGTGTCGCTTTGATCCCAAGCCTAGCCATGCGTACTTGTGCTGGTCTTCCCAGGCCCCCAGGCGACTCAAAATCGCCCTCTGCCCTCTGCCTTCTGCCCATCCGCTCCCAACCAGGAACTCGACCTGAGCCGGAACTACCTCGTTGCTTCCCTCCCCGACCTCTCCTCCTCTCTGCACCGCCTCACACTCCTCAATACCTCTCGCAACTTCCTCTCAGGGCCCCTGCCCTCCCACCTCCCTGCCTCCCTCCTCTCCCTCGATCTCTCCAACAACGTTTTCTGGGGCAGACTGCCCGGGTCTTCGGATTGGCTGCCTGAAAATGCAACTGCCCGACTGCATGGGAATTGCCTGCAGCTGCCATCCTGCCCTGTGCCTCCGAACCTGAGGTCCAGCTTTGGTGCGAAGCTGAGAGAAAGCTTCGGGCCGAACCTGAGAGCTGGTTCGGCGTGCTGGCTGGCGAGGCAGCGCTCGGAGAGGCAGTGTGCTTCGTTCTGTGGAGCCAATGAGAGTGTGACACGTGTCTGCAGGTGAGACCCTGCGAGAGGTAGAGGGAGAGGGAGGGGGAGGGGGACGAGAGTGCGAATGGATGTGTGTGGATGTGAGTGTGCTGCGACATGCATGCATGCATTCAGATGGGCATGCATGCAATCAGGTGGGCATGCATGCATGCAATCAGGTGGGCATGCATGCATGTCTGTATATTGCACATGTTCAGTTTCTGCTTCCTTTCCTATCTGCTCCTCACCTCTCCATAATCTTTTCTCCCCTGCCACATGCACTACAGTGGGCATAGTTACTGCGTTCCCTCCTCTTCCACCCAGAGAAGGTTGACAGGAAGTGCATTTCACTGCTTCAACAGCAGCAGCAGAAGCAGCAGCAACAGCAGCAGCAGCAGCAACAGCAGCAGCAGCAGCAACAGCAACAGCAGCAGCATTAGCAGCAGCAACAGCAGCAGCAACAGCAGCAGCAGCAGCAACAGCAGCAGCAGCAACAACAGCAGCAGCAGCAGCAACGATAGTAGCAGTAATGGCGGCACTGGTAGCAGCGGCAACAGCAGTAAGAGTGCTAAGGACCAAGGTACAGCAGGCACAGACAGCAAGCTTGGTTCCACCTACGGTTTTCCCCTTCCACCCACTCAAGATAGCAAACGCAGCAAGCCTTCACCTCCTGTAGATATGAGCACTATGTCTCTTAACGAGATTGCCTTTAAGAGGGATGCGTGGCTGCAGCAGTCAAAGAGGTGGTTGGGGGATGTGCGGATCCGTGTGAGGGAGGAAGGAGGGGAGTTTGCAGGGAGAGGAGGGAGGAAAGGAAGAAGGGTGGGAGGGAAGGATGTGAGAAAGTGGGTTGAGAGGATTCGACAGTTGGTTAGGAAAGAAGGAAAGATTTAGATTATGGTTCCCTATTCCTGTGACCTTTGTCCATGGCATGTCAACTTGAAAACCAGTTTGCAGTGAACGCATTTAAGCAAACATATATACACCTACCGGTAGTTGCAATCTGGGTTTTGAAATTGGGAAAATATGTCACAAGTAACCAACATGGGACTCGATAGCGTGTATGGTAAACAATTAACGCGTACGGTCACTGTATCGGGTTTGCTGACGGGTTTGGTAAGTGGGGTCACGGATTCAGTCACTAACAACAGGTGAAAAATCACGCGAATGGTAACACATGTAACTCCCGCCAAAATTTCTTGAAACTCTACAAAATTCCCCCTCGCGCCCAACCAATCAGCTAATTTCTAAAAATACTAAAACCCAATCGGAATCGGATGCGGTTTGGGAACGGATCAACCCTAAACACCTGCCGAGTTGTGTTTAGGGTTGATTCATCCGAAAATGCATCCAGGTTCGTTTTGGGTATTATCTTTTTTGGGCGGGAGTTTCATCTGTGACCATTCGCGTTATTCTTTCCCAGTTGATTGTGACAGATTCCGTGAAACGTTTTATCAAACACGTGAAAACACCCTTTGCAGTGACCGTACCCGTTATTTTTTTACCAAACATATTATCGAGACCCTTGTTGATTACGAGTGGCATATTTTCCCTTTGAAATTTCCTCTCACAGCACATGATCTGTGGCAAGAACTTGTGTCTGATTACAACTTACACCACGAATGCACCAAGAAATACTACATGTCAAACATTTGTATATATATGTTATAGTTTGGGTAGGCTTAGTGGGGTACTCACTATGGGGTACAACCCCTTAGGTTTCTCCTTTGTACCAACCCTCTCGATAGTCGACACAACTTTTGCCTGGGATTCTAACATGGCATCTAGAGCATAGGTCCTTAGGACCTAGGATTAGGGCCCACCGTACCTGTCTGCCTCGTCTAGTGCCCGTGCGCGCCTCGGCTGCCCGCGCGCGCCTCGGGCGGTCCTCTTTTTTTCCCACGTGCGCCGCTTCAGCAGCCCGCGTAGCCCGTGTGCGCCCCTTAAGCCGCCCGCGCGTAACCTGGTTAGGCCACACCAGCGCGGCCCGTCGCCCAGCGTAGCCCACACTGCTGTGGACGGGGAAGGTTGGCGACGCGTCGCGTTTCCGGGTCTGGGGTGCTCGTGCCTTTGTCCGCGATACCACCGCGGACAAGCTCTCCCCTCGCGCCATTCCTTGCGTCTTCCTTGGCTTTGTCCCTGACGCGCCTGGCTGGCAGTTTTACGACCCCGACTCGCGCCGTGTCTTTGCGTCTCAGGACGTCACATTTGACGAGTCGGTCCCCTTTTACCGCCTCTTCCCCTACCGCACTGCTCCTCGCCCCCCCCCGCCGCTCTTTCTCGCCCCAGGTCCTCCCCAGGTAGACCCCCTCCCCGCGCCAGGTCCTGCTCCTTCAGGTGTCTCTCAGGCAGACCCCCCTGCGCCTGCGCCTGTTGAGGTCACTGGTGACTCCGGTCCTGCTGCGAGTGGTGCTGAGCCTGTGTGTGCGGAGCCTGGGGGTGCTGAGTCTGGGGGTGAGTCGCCTGAGGGTTCTGAGACTGCTGTTACGCGGTCTCCTTGGAGTAGCCGTCTTCGTCCGCGTGTGCCCCTCACCTCCCAGCAGCTGCACGACTGGTACGGTCGCCGTCAGCGTCCCACTTCTGCACCTCAGGGCTCTCCTGCTGGAGGTTCTTCTGCTGGTGTCGCTGGTCCCGGAGGTGCTCGTACTGGGAGTACTGGAGCTGCTGGGGCTGGTGGAGGTGCTGGAGGTGCTGGAGCTGCTGGAGGTGCTGGAGTTGCTGGGGGTGCTGGAGCTGCTGGGGGTGCTGGAGCTGCTGGAGCTGCTGGAGCTGCTGGAGGGGCTGGTGCTGCTCGTGCTGGTGGCACTGCTCAGCCGCGCCTGTTCTTTGCTCCTCCGTCTCCGTCGTCTCAGCCACCACCTGACTCTGCACTTCGCCAGGTTCTCAGTCTTCCCTCGTCTACTGGTCTTCCGTTACAGCCTGGCTCACCGCTGCCTGCTCCTTCTCCGTACACAGAGCAGCCTGGTGGCCTTGCAGAGCGTCGTGAGCCTGCGTCGCGTCCTGTCTCCCCTGTCAGTTCCGGTCGTCGTGTTCCTCGTCCGAGCCAGCCGGCTATCTCCGGCCCTCCCCTTGTAGTTCGTCGTCCTTCCTCTCCTTCACCGCGTGTTCCTGTGCCGCCTCCCCCTGCGTCCTCTCTGCCTGTCGTTGCTGACCCTGCGTCTGACCGGTTTCGTGCTGAGCACTCTACTGTCACGCGTCTGCTTGCCACTGTTGTCACTGACCCGTCGTTTGAGTCTTCTGCTGCGTCTGCCTTAGTCACTGAGCTTGTTGCCTTTGCTGCTCACTGTCGTCTAGACTACGCCGCCAGTCTTGTTGCTGAGTCTGCGTCTGTCTGTCCTCCGTCCGTCGGGGGTGTGTGCTCTTGGCACGGACGTCCTTGAGGACAGGCAGGAGGACCTTGAGTGTCTTGCAGCCGCTGCGCCTCATCTCGTATCCATGCTGCTTGCCCCTGAGGGAGACCCGGATGCACCAGACATCCCTACCCCGCGCTCTTACGCTGAGGCGATCGCGGGTGAGTACTCCTCTCAGTGGCAGACAGCCATGGACGCAGAGATGGCATCCTGGAAGTCCACAGGCACCTACGTCGACGAGGTTCCCCCTCCTGGGGCGAACATTGTCAGTGGCATGTGGATTTTCAGGGTGAAGCGGCCGCCAGGTTCTCCGCCTGTCTTCAAGGCTCGGTACGTGGCTCGAGGCTTCAGTCAGCGAGAGGGAGTTGACTTCTTCCAGACCTTCTCCCCCACCCCGAAGATGACCACTCTTCGGGTGCTGCTGCACGTTGCCACTCAGCGTGACTACGAGCTTCACTCTCTTGACTTCAGCACAGCCTTTTTACAGGGCAGCCTGCACGAGGAGATCTGGCTGCGCCGCCCTCCTGGCTTCACTGGGTCGTTCCCTCCTGGTACCCAGTGGAGCCTCCGGCGGCCGGTCTACGGTCTCCGCCAGGCGCCACGTGAGTGGCACGACACACTGAGGACGACACTTGCGGCTCTTGGGTTTGCTCCGTCGACTGCTGACCCGTCGCTGTTTTTGCGCACCGACACTTCGGTGCCGCCGTTCTACGTTCTCGTGTACGTCGACGACTTGGTCTTTGCCACTGCTGACACTGAGGCTCTCGCCCTGGTGAAGTCGGAGCTGCAGAAGAGACACACGTGCACAGACCTGGGTGAACTGCGCAGCTACCTTGGCTTGCAGATCACCCGGGACAGAGCACGTCGCACCATCACACTGACTCAGTCACACATGGTGCAGCAGGTCCTTCATCGCTTTGGTTTCACCTGGTCCTCAGCACAGGCCACTCCTCTGGCTACAGGTCACTCGCTCTCAGCTCCACCTTCGGACGAGTCCGTAGAGCCGAGTGGTCCTTACCCAGAGTTAGTGGGCTGCCTCATGTACCTGATGACTTGCACTCGTCCTGACCTTGCGTACCCTCTTGGCCTTCTGGCTCGCTACGTGGCTCCTGGTCGGCACCGAAAGGTGCACTTGGATGCTGCCAAGAGGGTACTACGCTACTTGTGCAGTACATCGGGCATGGGGCTCGTGCTTGGAGGACGGGGTGACGTTGTCCTCACAGGTCACTCGGACGCCTCTTGGGTTGACGACTAGGCTACGCAGCGGTCGTCACAGGGTTACACCTTCAGCCTTGGTTCTGGTTCAGTTTCCTGGCGTTCTACACGTTCGTCTTCAGTTCTCGGCTCCAGCTGTGAGGCAGAGATCTACGCCACAGCCATGGCTGCACAGGAGCTGCGCTGGCTCACCTACCTGCTGACCGACTTGGGAGAGCGGCCTCGTTCTCCTCCAGTTCTGTACGTCGACAACAAGGCCGCCATTGCCTTGTGTCAGGAGCACAGACTGGAGCACAGAACAAAGCACATCGCTCTCCGTTACTTTCTTGCTCGAGAGCTGCAGCAGCGTGGCCAGCTTCGTCTTACCTACGTGGCCACTCGGGCCAACACTGCTGATATATTCACCAAGGCGCTTCCGCCTGGTGATCATCAGCGTTTCTGCACTTTGTTAGGCCTTGTGCCCACGCTTCCTCACTTGCTGTAGGCCTTGTTTGTACCATGATTTATATGTATTCCTGCATGCTTGTTCTTGTAGGTAGATATCACTGTACTGTTGTTGTTACATATATATTTCTGCATGTGAACTGGCCTTGTGGCCTTCTTGCTTGTGCTCAGACTGCGTGGTGACGTTGTGATCCACCCTGAGCTTGCTTTGCACTTCCTGACTGGTCTTGTGACCCTCTGTTCCCCCACTTTGCCTATGGGGGTGTGTCAAACATATGTATATATATGATATAGTTTGGGTAGGCTTAGTGGGGTACTCACTGTGGGGTACAACCCCTTAGGTTTCTCCTTTGTGCCAACCCTCTCGATAGTCGACACAACTTTTGCCTAGGATTCTAACACTACAGCAAGATCAGTGCAAGAATGTACAATATATACATAATAATGGGCGTCATTTTCTCAAAGGTGTCATTTCTGAGAACCTATACCAGCAGCACCACTCATTCCCAGCATCCCATGCACCAAGGGAAAAAAAAGGCACAATCAGTCTCCTCACTCATGCTTGAACATAGCAGCCCGCTTCTCCAGGAACGCCTGCATGCCTTCCTTCTGGTCAGCGAGAGCGAACGAGGAGAGGAAGAGCGCTCGCTCCTCAGCCAGCCCTTCGGCCAGCGACCCGTTGAACGCCGCGTTGACGCTCTGCTTCGCCATGGCCACTGCTGGTTGCGACAGCGATGCTATCTTGCTGGCTGTTGCAATGGCTGCTTGAAGCAGCTCTTCTGGTGGGCCCGGGATCTGGGGGAAACGAATGGGAAACAAGAGGAATGGTGGTGAGTGCAGCGTTGGCGCTCTGCTTTGCCATGGCCACTGCCGATTGCGACAGCGATGCTATCAAGAACTCCCTCGTAAGAATCATCTCCATGGCGCGCGCCTTGCCCGGATCCACTACAAGCCTACTCCTGTAGAACCCAGCACTCCGCATCAGGCACTTCTCGCTCACCACTCTGCTAACTAGCCCAGCCCGTGCCACCTCTTCTGCTTCCACAAAGAGCTCCCTGTGAGAATCATCTCCATGGCTCGTGCCTTGCCCATTGCTGCAATACAAACCTATTTGGAACAATGATTCGGTGTTGAGACGTCTCAAAATTGGAAAATGAGTCGGTATACAGTGCACCACTCCCCACTCTACTAACAAGCCCAGCTTGAGCAGCTTCATCTGCATCCATGAACATCTCCCACGTCAGAATCATTTCCATGGCTCGTGCCTTGGCCAGATGCAAAACAAGCCTCATCTGTGTACAACGCAGCAGTCAGAATCAAGCATCTCTCACCTCTCACCACTCACCACTCACCACTCACCACTCACCACTCACCACTCACCACTCACCTCTCACCACTCACCACTCACCACTCACCACTCTGCTGACCAGCCCAGCCCGCGCTGCCTCCTGTGCATCCATAAAGAACTCCCCCATGAGAATCATCTCCATGGCTCGTGCCTTGCCCAATGCTTCAATCATTCGACTCAATACAGACATACTCGTTATAAACTCACCACTCTGCTAACGAGCCCAGCCCGCGCCGCCTCTTCTGCATCCATAAAGAACTCCCCCGTCAGAATCATCTCCATGGCTCGTGCCTTGCCCACCGCGCGAGTGAGACGCTGCGTGCCGCCCATCCCGGGAATCACCCCCAGCTTCACCTCCGGCTGGCCGAACACAGCCTTCTCGCCCGCCAGGATGATGTCACACATCATTGCCAGCTCGCACCCGCCTCCTAGTGCGTAGCTGTCATGAACAAAGGGGGGAAGGTGGAGCAGAGGGGTAGGGGGCCAACCGAGATAGCTTCACCTCGGGCTGCCCAAACACGGCCTTCTCCCCCGCCAGGATAATGTCGCACATCATCGCCAGCTCGCATCCGCCGCCCAGTGCGTAGCTGGGGAAAGGCACGGAGCAAAGGCAAGGAAAAGGGAGGTAGGGGGAAGGAAGGGGGTTGGTGGGGGCCAGGTAGGGAGGCTTCCCCTCTGGCTGGCCGAACACGGCCTTCTTGCCCGCTAGGATGATGTCACACATTATCGCCACCTCGCACCCGCCGCCCAGAGCGTACCTGGGAAAGACAGAAAGGAGGGAGGGGAGGGGAAAGAATTCCGCTATGTGATTGGATGCTGCATGGCTTCACATCCACTCACTCACCTGCCCACTATCCCTACTCACCTGCCCACTATCCCTACTCACCCGTTGACAGCAGCAACGACAGGCTTCTTCAACCGTCGCATGTCGTCCCAATGCCCCAGCAGGTCGCCATTGAGTGCAGCAGCGAAGGTCAGGGGCGCCATCTCCGCTATGTCCGCCCCCGCTGCTGCTGCACGGGCTAACAACTCACCCATTAACAGCAGCAATGACAGGTTTCTTCAGCCGTCGCATGTCGTCCCACTGGCCCAGCAGGTCCCCCTTGAGCGCAGCAGCGAAGGAGAGGGGCGCCATCTCCGCTATGTCCGCCCCCGCTGCAAACGCGCGCCCCTCGCCCGTTACCACCGTCGCCCCCACCTGAAGCAGGGGGCGTACAGCACAGGGAGACAAAAGGGCAGTGGTGTCTTGATTTCAACACGTTCCATACACGACCCATAGATGAGGCTAACACACACACGTGCCAAATAGATTTTCCCGCACGCACCGAGTCCTTTCGGTCCATCCACTGCAGCGCAGATACCACCTCCCCCATAACCGCCTGTGACAGTGCGTTCAGAGCTTTCGGCCTTGCCAGGGTAATTAACCCAACCTGCCCGTCCGCCACAAGTTCCACCCGGACATTGTGGAAAATGCCTCCCCCGGGGGGCGCCTCCCCCGCGCCATCCCCACCAGGTGGAGCCTCTCCCACCGCGCCGTTTCCCGCGCTGCTGCTGAATTCGCGGGCGACATATGGAAAGGCGTCACGGTAAGGGGAGGGAAGGGGCGGAGGGGAGTCACAGCAAGGGGAGCGCGCTACGGGGCGCAAGGCGGAAGCGGCGGAAGGGGCGCATGGGGCAGAGAGGAAGGACGGGGCGGAGGACGCGGTTGAGGAAGGGAAGGTGGGCACGGGGCGGAGAGCGGAAACGGTTGAGCGCAACCATGACGGGCGCGGCGGGCAGGGGGAAGATGCAGCGGCGGGAGAGGGGAGGGGGTGGACGGGGAGAGGCGGGGTGGAGCGCGGAAGGAGCGCGGGAGTGGGGGTGGATGCGCCGATGGAAGGTGCGGCGAGGAAAGGGTGGAGAGCAACAAGGCGAGACGCTGCTCCTCGCGTTCTTGGGACACAACGAGCCATGGTGGCAGACATAAACAGCAAGAAGCTCAAATCCTGTGTCACAAAAATATGGGGATGAATTTAATTTTGTACCAATGATTAACAGCTCCTGTAGCTCAGTTGGTTAGAGCGTATGGCTGTTAACCATAAGGTCGGTGGTTCAAGCCCACCCGGGAGCGGCGTTTTGCTTTCTTGCCTTCCCATTATGGAAGTGTAACTGACCCGCGTCAGGCTTGACAGCGTGGACTTCGACCCAAAACCCTCGAAGAATACGCCCTTGTCGACGGGAGACAGAAGACCGGAAGTCCCCCAATTCACGTGCGAGCGGAATGGTTTGACCTTCCCAGTTTCAAGTTCCAATTTCAATCCCCAGGGCCCTCGGGATTGTCGGTTTTCTGAATCTTGGATTCCCGCTTCGTCAAGGAGTGATCCGCTTTTGGTCACACAGGACGGACATCCGCTCTTCATTCCCTGCCGTCCTCGTTGATCCTGTCTAACGGCGGGTCGAGGATAATCTTCGATTTTAGAGACGCTGGGGATTAATCCGTCAGGCCCTAGATTCCGACCGGGTCCCTTCCGCTGCTTTTAGCCCTTGACTTAGATCGGTGGGGAGGCGTAGATCGCGGCAATGGGGATCGTTGAGGATTTCAGATCTGTGACGTCCACATTCTATAACGAGTACAGCAAAACGCCCGTCAAACTCAAGGTTCGAGAAATTCTTATGTTGCCAGAATGCAGCCGTGTATGGCATCAGCTCAGAGCAATTATGAGATGATTGCGCGGATATTGCGCGGATATTGCACGGATATTGCGCGGATCTAGCAAGGGTCGCGGTACCGTGGCGTGCAATCCGCACCAGCCGAGCTTGCAACCGCATGAATTGCGTTGCTTTTTTTTCTTCTACTTCCGTTTCCCTCTCCCCACCTCATCATTACCTTGTCTCGTTCCAATAGGAAACCCATCTAATCGCGATTTGATGTTTATCCTTGTGTTGTCCTCTCCCTGTTCGTGATCTATCGGGGAAATCTTGCAGGCCCTGGATCTCCTCGTGGTGTACGCGTTGCTGACGGCTGGGATTCAGGTACGCACCACGTGCCGTCCATGTCCACGTCTCGCCCACGTCCATGTCCACGTGTCACCCACGTCTATATCCGCGTGTCTTCCCTTTCCCCACCACTCACCAGTTCGCGTACGTGGCGCTGGTGCGGTCGTTCCCGCTCAACGACTTTCCCCATACCCTAGTATTCGATATTAAAGTTCCACTTCAACGTAGTAGCGGCATTTTCATAACTTTATAGTCGACCAAGTCACTCTTTACTCCTTATCGAACCCCACCACTTGCTCGTGCATGTGTCATGGCTCTGGCGGGGTCGTTCCCCTTCACCGCCTGTAATGAACTCTAACCTCACTCCCCTTCCTCCCCCCTTCCGCCTCCGCCAAATCTCCCCTTCCCTCGTCCTTTCTCCTCCCCCCCCCACCCCCTTTCTTCCCCACCTCCCTCTCCACCTTCTCCTGGCGCCAATCGCGCAGTTCGCGTACATGGCGCTGGTGGGGTCGTTCCCCTTCACCGCCTGTGGTGAACTCTAACGTCACTCCGCGCTCCTCCCCTTCCTTCCCCCGTTACCTGCCTCCCCCAAATTGCCCCCATTTCCCCTTTCCCACGCGCCAATCGCGCAGTTCGCGTACATGGCGCTGGTGGGGTCGCGCCGTCAACGCCTGTAGTCAACTCTAATGCTTTCCCTCCTCCCCCCTTTCCCCTTCCCCCCCTCCCCCCTTTCCCCTTCCCCCCCTCCCCCCTTTCCCCACGCGCCGATCGCGCAGTTCGCGTACATGGCGCTGGTGGGGTCGTTCCCCTTCAACGCGTTCCTCGCGGGTCTGCTCTCCTGTATTGGAACCGCCGTCCTCGCAGGTATGTTGGAATCTGGGCTGCTTTCGTCCTCTCGCTTACTCGCTCCCCCCTCACGCTTCTCCCTTCCCTCTTCAATCGAGGCTCCTCTTTCACAACGCGCCACTCCTCCCCTTCGAGTGCATCTTCTTCCCTTCATGTATCTTCACTGCCTCCTTTCACTCACTCTCCCTAACCATGCATCTGCACACCCACACCCACCACCCCCCCCCCCCCCCTCTCCCTTCCCCCTTCCTTCTCTCTCTCCCTCGATCTCCCTGTGCCACAGTGTGTTTGAGAATGCAGGCCAACAAGGAGAACAAGGACTTCCAGATTCGCTCGTCGTTTGAGTCAACTTAAAAATCTATCCCCCTCCATCCCCACCTTTTCCCTCTTCCTCTCTCCCTCCCGCCACAGTGTGTTTGAGAATGCAGGCCAACAAGGAGAACAAGGACTTCCAGGTTCGCTCCTCTCCCTGCCCTCCCCCAGCCCTCCCCCACCCTCGAACCCAAAACCGAACCCGAGTTCTCACGTGTCCCCTTCTTTCTTCCAAGTCGCTCCTACGGAGTTCAAACCTCCTTTGTCCGCCGCTTATGCTATCTATGTGTATGTCTTCTTCGCGTGCTGATCTGCGCGACACACGTTTGGATGCCATGCACCACCTTAGAATCTACCTTAACCAGATTTATGCTTGCGTCGTGTAACAACTTCTTCCCCACCACATTCCGTTTCCCACCGTGCCGCCCCCTATTAATTTACCTCTCCCACATTTCGATGCCATGCCCCACCTTTTAAAAGCTATCAAAAACGCGCCGCCTTTGTCTTAAGCCTTGTTCCCTACCACCCTGCTTCTCCCACCCCTCCACCCCACCCCTCCACCCGTCCGTCCAACTTTCGGTTCTGCCTGTAACAGGAGCTGCCAAACGAGCGTGCCTTTGCAGACTATGTGCTCTGTAGCTTGGTGCTGTACCTGGTCGTTATCAACTTTATTGGTTAACCTACTATCGTGACATCCACTAGATTTGAACTGCTCCTACACTGATATGCGTGGTTGAAGGCTTCCCTGTATACCTTTTTTGAACCTCAACGCACATTGCAGCCTGCGGAGTCCTGTGTGCGTGTATCCTGTGCCGTATTTGCTTTGCACTTGTCCGGTATCATATTCTATTGCTGAAGTCTGGACTCTGAACTCTGTAACAAGCGTGGAGACTCTGGCACAGCATGGATATGGTCCCGCTACCAATGGCAATCGTGCCAATAATGGAATGAATTGTGTTTCGGGGCGAGCCACAAGTATTTGGAGTGCAGATGTGTGCAAGTGTGCCTTCACCTATGCATGCCTACGACTGCCTGTGCCTTACACTTCCTATCACCAGGTAAAGCCCAATGGGAAGGCAGGCAGAGGCTGAGAATATCAGCTTCTCAACTGCGAAGGGCTACATGGCCCTGTACTGTACATAGACATGGCATGGCAACTATGTCATGGCTTTATTATACTGAGTCACCTTCATTATAATGCCACCATAGGCTGGGCAGCAATAGAAGTTCTCACCCAGTGCACCCCATCCGTCCATGCCAAACCCCCAAACGAAAACTTTCCACTGCCCTTTTTCGGGGTCAGCTTCACCGTAAAAGTTATGCTCTGCCCGGGCAGAATCGTAAACTGCTTCGGTGTGACTTCTACAGCTACGTTCGGCATGGAACCCAGCCGAAGCTTGTAGGTCCGGGCACGCCCAGCCACGCAGGTAACCCTCCTGGTTACGGTTACCACTGTAGACAACCGCGAAACACAAATATTCGGCTGGTTTAGATCCCACGCCTTGATTGGCGAAAGCGACGCAGTTTTTCCCAGCATCTGCCGAGCTTTCGGCATATTCAGCCCGGCCAGAAAATTCGCGTAGCCCGCAAACCCAACGTCGTATACCAGCCCAGGGTTGAGAATTTTCGGGGCATTTACGTGCCCGGACCCGAAATTCCAGGGTGTCCCTTTCGCTCCGGACGAATCCAAAATAAACCCGCCCTGCCGGTTCATTACTGTAGCAGTCGTCATTATTGCGGATTTTACCGCCGCGGGACTCCATTTGGGATATTTTTGAATTATAAGCGCCGCAATTCCGGCCAATTGAGGTGTAGACATCGACGTGCCGCTTTTACTGGAAAACCAAGCTTGTCCATTAGTGCCCCCAGGAGCAGCAGCAAGGCGGGTGATACCAGGGGCAGTGATGTCTGGCTTCAAGAGGTCGTTGGTGAGGGTGGGCGAGGAGGAAGGAGGCTTGTTGGGGTTTAAGGGAGGTCCGGCAGATGAGAAGGGGGCCATCATGGGGTCTGAGAGTTGAGTTGGCTGGGATGGGGGTGTGTGGGGGGAGGGGGGAAAGGGAATGGGGGGAAGGGAAGGGGGGGAGCTTTTAGGTACCTCGATAGAAAGGCTCCGTGGAAGAGAAGGGGGCCATCATGGGGTCTCAGAGCTGCCTTGGCTGGCGCGGGGGTGTGTGGGACGAGGGGGAGAGGGGAATGGGGGGAGCTTTTAGGCGCCTCAATAGAAAGGCTCCGTGGAAGAGAAGGGGGCCATCATGGGGTCTGAGAGCTGCCTTGGCTGGCAGAGGGAGGGGTGGGATGTGGGGAGCAGGCAGGGAAGGAGGGGAGGACAGGAGCGGCAGGGAGATACTGGAGGGTTGCGGGTTTTGAAGCGCCTGAAAATATGACTTTGAGTCGACTCAAAAGTCATCTACTGGAGGGTTGCGGGTTTTGAGGCGCCTGAAAAGGGAGGCATGCGAGGAGGGAGTGTGAAGAGGGTTTGGGAATGGAATATGGAAGCAAGGGTGATGGTGGGGTGTGAGGTATCATGTCCATCAACTGAAGGTGCACCTGATTCTGAATCTCCTGAAGATTCACCTGACGCCTCACCTGAAGCTGTACCTTCTTATCTATCACCCAAAGACTCACCCGACCTGACATCTAACCTGACAGAAATACCTGGCAATCACCTGAACACTCACCTGACTCTGCATCTGAAAGTTCCCCTGATGCTTCCAGCAGGCCTCTCACCTGGACGGCAGTTGCAGCAGCAGGCAGCGAGGTTCCGTTGACTTGTATTGACTTTGCTGACTGTGCAGAGCGACCAAAGAAGCCCCAGTCGTCATCTGTTGAGCTGGGGTGCCGAGAGAAGTGGAAGTAGGAGTGGGGAAAGTAAGGATGAGAGGGGAAGTGAGGGTGAGAAGGGAAGTGAGGGTGAGAGGGGAAGTGAGGGTGAGAGGGGAAGTGAGGGTGCGAGGGGAAGTGAGGGTGCGAGGGGAAGTGAGGGTGAGAGGGAAGTGAGGGTGAGAGGGAAGTGAGGGTGAGAGGGGAAGTGAGGGTGCGAGGGAAGTGAGGGTGAGAGGGAAGTGAGGGTGAGAGGGAAGTGAGAGTGAGAGGGGAAGTGAGGGTGAGAGGGGAAGTGAGGGTGAGAAGGGAAGTGAGGGTGAGCAATAATAAGCTACCCATGGGACAGCGACAGGGAGCAACCCACCAGACTGAATGAGCCACCCACCTGGCGGCAACAGTGCCGCAGAATGCAGCAGCGTTGCTGAGAGTGCGGAAGGCGAGCCGAGGATTGCGAATGGAGAGAGTTAGTGTGAGAAACACAATGAGCCACCCACCATGCAGCAACAGTGAGGTCGAATGGAGCAGCGTTGCTGAGAGTGCGACCAGTGAGAGGGAAAATGAGGGTGAGAAGGTGAGAAATAGTGTGCTTCCCACCTGGCGGCGACAGTGAGGTAAAACGGAGCAGCGTTGCTGAGAGTGCGGAACCCAAAGGGCTTCTGAGTCGTAGGGGGCGGGCCCTCGTTGCCCGCTGCCATGGCCAGGAACACACCCGCCTGCATGCAGCAAGGCAGGGGCAGAATGAGAGAAGCAGCATGGGAGCATGAGAAACAGGACTCACTGCAGAATGATACCCAGCAGTCTGCCATGGGTGGTGGTCCCTTGATGCCCACTGCCATGGCCAGGAACACACCCGCCTGCATGCAGCAAGGGAGGGGCAGCACGTGAGGGGCCTATCATTCGGCTCTGAGGGGAGCCCATAGGGCCCCATAGGGCTTCCCTGCCATGGGGGGCGGTCCCTCGTTGCCTGCTGCCATGGCCAGGAACACACCCGCCTGCACGTGTATCGAGACGTGCAGCTAGGGAGGGGCAGAATGAGAGTGATGAGACGCGTCAAAGCAAGGGAGGGGCAGCACAGGCGCATAGAAGTGGGTCACTCAGGGGGGGAAGGGGAAGGTTCCTCAATGCCTGCTGCCATGGCGGGTAACACACCGGCCTACCTGCAACAAGGGAGAGGCGCGACGAGGAACCCTGCTCACATCCTCTCACACCCTCTCTCACCCTCTCACACCCTCCCACACCCTCTCACACCCTCTCACACCCTCCTACACCCCCACACCCTCGCACGCCCTCCCACACCCTCTCACACCCTCTCACACCCTCTCACACCCTCTCACACCCTCTCACACCCTCCTACACCCCCACACCCTCGCACGCCCTCCCACACCCTCTCACCCACCTGCACCACTCTTAACAGCAGCAGGTCGCCAAAGTAGGTATCTTCGCCCGACACGATGCTCATGGAGAGCAGATCACTCTCAACACGATCCGCACCGCCTCACACTCAAAACCACACACTACCACACACTACCACACACTACCACACCTTCCCACGCCCTCCAACATCCTCCATTTTTGAGGCGCCTAAAAAAAAAACGTCTCAGATTTGAGGCGCCTCAGAAATCTACCACACACTACCACACACTACCACACACTACCACAGACTACCTCGCCTTCCTTCCCACGCCCTCCAACATCCCCTCACTCACCTGCACAGCCCTGAGGAGAGGCAGGTCGCCGAACTCGGTATTTTCGCCAGATCCAATGCTCATGGAAAGCACAGCACATCCACACTGCTTCACACACTCCCACGCATTCCTCACCTTCACCGCTCTCAACAGATGCAGGTCGCCAAAGTAGGTGTCTTCGCCCGATCCAATGCTCATGGAGAGCACATCCACACCGTCCGCGACGGCCTGATCAACGGCTGCAAAGATGTCGCAGTCGTGGCCGTACCCCTCTGACGCGTTGAACCAGATCGCCTTGTACACCGCCAGCCTGCCACGTGGCGCCATGCCACTGGCCGGTCCAGCGGTCGATCTGAATTCGTCTGTCAGAACCACCCCGGCGTTGCCTGCTGCTGCTCTGTGCGATTGGTAAGGGGAAGAGGAGAGGGGGGAGAGGGGAGGGAGAGGTGGAGTGGGGAGGAAGGTGTGGGCAATTCGAAATCCCAGTGATAACCACATTGACTGCCGCATTGACTGCCACAAGACTGCCACAAGACTGATTGCATGGGGATGAGGTGGGGATGAAGGGGGAGAGGGGTTGGAGAGGAAATGGAGAGGAAAGGGGGAAGGGAAAGGGGAAGGGAAAGGGGGAAGGGAAAGGGGGAAGGGAAAGGGGGAAGGGAAAGGGGGAAGGGAAAGGGGGAAGGGAAAGGGGGAAGGGAAAGGGGGAAGGGAAAGGGGGAAGGGAAAGGGGGAAGGGAAAGGGGGAAGGGAAAGGGGGAAGGGAAAGGGGGAAGGGAAAGGGGGAAGGGAAAGGGGGAAGGGAAAGGGGGAAGGGAAAGGGGGAAGGGGACGGGGAGAGGACGGGGAGAGGACGGGGAGACGACGGGGAGAGGACGGGGAGAGGACGGGAGAGGACGGGGAGAGGACGGGGAGAGGACGGGGAGAGGACGGGGACTGAGGACGGGGAGAGGACGGGGAGAGGACGGGGAGAGGACGGGGAGAGGACGGGGAGAGGACGGGGACGAGGACGGGGAGAGGACGGGGATGAGGACGGGGAGAGGACGGGGAGAGGACGGGTAGAGGACGGGGATGAGGACGGGGAGAGGACGGGGAGAGGACGGGGAGAGGACGGGGAGAGGACGGGGAGAGGACGGGGAGAGGACGGGGAGAGGACGGGGAGAGGACGGGGAGACGAACGGGGAGAGGACGGGGAGAGGACGGGGAGAGGACGGGGAGAGGACGGGGAGAGGACGGGGAGAGGACGGGGAGAGGACGGGGAGAGGACGGGGAGAGGACGGGGAGAGGACGGGGAGAGGACGGGGAGAGGACGGGGAGAGGACGGGGAGAGGACGGGGAGAGGACGGGGAGAGGACGGGGAGAGGACGGGGAGAGGACGGGGAAGAAGAAGGGTTGAAAAGACGAAAAGGGAGGACTTTTAGAAATCACTCGAGGAATTTTCTCAAAAACCACTCAAGTGCTATCCACCACAGAAATGATTGGTTGGGGAGAGGAAATGGGAGGACGGAGAAGGGGGGAAAAGAGTGAAGGAGAGTGCGGGGTGGCCTATGACTCACCCTGCACACCACGTACTCCCTTCCCTCCTCACCCACCCTTCCATGACTTACCCCGCCCGCACACCACGTGCCATGGCCACCCACCAGCATCCCTGGCTGGCAGAGCAATACTCTCCCACAGCCACAGCCTCATACTCAGCCTCGTAGCCCTTGAGGGAGAAGCGCGCCCATCACACACACCATGTGCCCCAACCCACGCACCATGCAGTTGCCCTCTTCCCCATCACCCCCCATTGCTCACCCCACACACCATGTGCAATGCCCGCCAGCATCTCTCTCTCTCGGAGCCAGCTGGCCATACTCCGCCTCGTACCCCTTGAGCAAGTAGCGCGCGCCCATCACCACATCACATGCACCCTCCTAACACCCACATAACCCCCATACCACTCACCCCGCACACCACGTGCCGTGCCCGCCAGCGTCCCGAGCAGAGCGATACTCCCCTCGAGCCAGCTTGCCATACTCTGCCTCATAGCCCTTGAGGAAGTAGCGCGCGCCGATCAGCTTACGGTTGCACCTGCTCAGGCCTGTGCACGCCCCTTTCCACCTCTTGGGCACTGGCCCGTAGCCCTGCAGGTGGTGGGGAGGAGGGAAGCAGGGGAGCGAGGGGGAGAGGGTAGTAGTGAGGAGGACGGAAGTGGGGAGGAGGAGGGAAGAGGGAGAGAGAAGTGGAGTGGGGGTGGTTCAATATTCCCCCGGGGCCAGTTTGCCATACTCCGCCTGGTAGCCCTTGAGGAAGTACCGTGCACTCGCTGGCACCTGCTCAGCCCTGTGCATGCCCCTTTCCACCGCTTGGGCACTGGCCCGTAACCCTACAGTTGGTGAGAGGGGAGTAGTAAGGGAGGGAATGTTATAGGAACTTACAACAGAGCTTCCGATTGCACCTGCTCAGCCCCGGGCACGCCCCTTTCCATCTCTTTGGCACTGGTCCATAGCCCTGTGGGTGGTGCGAGGAGAGGTGGAAAGAGAGGGGGGAAGGAGAGGGGAGGAACGTAGCATGCACTGATGACCTTGCGGTTGCACCTGCTCAGCCCCGGGCATGCCCCTTTCCATCTCTTTGGCACTGGTCCGTAACCCTGCAGAATTGGTGGGCGGGACGATGGGGGAAGAAAGGAGGAGAGGAGGGGGGGAAGGGACAAGGGAAGGAGGGGAGGGTTGTTGCACTTGCTCAATCCGCATACACCCCCCTCCACCGCTTGGGCACTGGTCCTTAGCCCTGCAGGAAGGAGGGACGAGGGGGGAAGAAAGGGGGAGAGGTGGGGAGAGGTAAGGGAAGGAAGGGAGGGGTGGGGATGTGTGGTTGCACTTGCTCATACATCCATACACATGCGCACACACACACACACACACACACACATACACACATACACACACACACACACACACACACACATACACACACACACACATACACACACATACACACACACACACACACATACACACACACACACACACACACACACACGCACGCACGCGCACACGCACGCACGCACACGTGCACACAGAGACGCAAAAGAAAACACACACACACACACGCCCTCCCCAGCTGGATCCTGTACACCCACGCTCACACACTCCCCCACACACAGACACATTTCTTCTTTTACGCACATACCTTGTCCGAGAAGGAAGGCTGTTCCGGCCAGATCCCAGAGTCCAGCACTCCAATAATCACACCCTCCCCTACTCCTCCCTGCCCGCCCACGCCCCCTCACATCGTCCCCAGCTTCATATACTTGGGCGTGTACGTCGTGAAAGCATAGCGAGTCACACCCTTCCCTGCGCCCTACCACCACCCGCCCCACCCACATTTCTCTTCACAAACGCACACACCTTGTCGGAGAAAGACGGGTGTTCCGGCCAGATCCCAGAGTCCAGCACTCCAATAATCACGCCCTCCCCTGCTCGCCCCTGCCCGCCCACGCCCCCCCACATCTTCCCCAGCTTCATATACTTGGGCGTGTACGTCGTGAACACACGCACTTTCCCCTTCGCCCTTACCACCTGCCCCACACCCGGCCGCTTTCTCAACTCCTCTGCCTGCTGCGCTGTCAAAGACGCACACACAGCATTCGCTGTGACTCCGTAGCTGTAGAGTAGGCTCGATTCCGAGGCTCCCACCGAGGCTAGGGCAGACCTGTGTGTGCTGAGAAGGTGCTGCTGATAGGCTTTAACCCGAGGCAAATCAGCTAAGGGTCGGAAGGATTTTCTCTCTCCACTTCCTCCCCCGCTGCTCCAGTAGGTGCTGCTGCTGCCTGCGCCTGCTGCTCCCGGGTATACAGCTTTCGCGCTGCTTGCACTGGGTGTGCTTATATCGAGTCGGCTGCCTGCACCGCGTTCAGAAGTGTGTGCCGCAGCCTTGAATGCGGTTTTTGAATCAATGGAACGTTTAGCAGCAGCAGCACCAGCAGCACCAGCCCCATCACGAGCAGGAGAAGTAGCAGCAGAACCAGCGGCTGTGGGTTTGAGCCCTGGGATTCCCCCACTGTAAGCCACCACTGGTGGTGCGGAGGTCATGTGCACCAGGTACAGCTTTCTTTGCTCTGTGGAAGAGCCTCGCACTGCATGGCAAAGGGGAGGGGAGAGGGAGGGGAAGGGGCTAGCGTTATGTGCATGGCTGATGCGTCGACCAGCCACTACTACTGGTGGTGCGGGGGTCATGTGCACCAGGTACAGCTTTCTTTGCTCTGTGGAAGAGCCTCGCACTGCATGGCAAAGGGGAGGGGAGAGGGAGGGGAAGGGGCTAGCGTTATGTGCATGGCTGATGCGTCGACCAGCCACTACTACTGGTGGTGCGGGGGTCATGTGCACCAGGTACAGCTTTCTTTGCTCTGTGGACGAGCCTTGCACTGCATGGAGGGAAAGGGGTCGGAGAAGAGAAGGGATGATGCGGTTCACAACCACCACTGGTGGTGCTGAGGTCTGTGCACGAGGTACAGCTTCCGCACTACTGTTGACGAGCCTTTCACTGCTCGGCATAGGGGGCTGAGAGGGGAGGAGGGGAGGGATTTTGGAGAGATGCAAAGAGTTGATGCTGCCCAAGTGATGCGGCCCAAGTGATACAACGTCATGTGGATGGGAGAGGAGGAAATAGGAACTGTTAATGACTCGTTGAGGGAACTATATGAAGGAAAGGGAGGGGAAGGCAGGGAAAGGGAAGAGATACAATGAAAGTGGGGGAAGGCGGAGGGAAGGAGGTAGTGAGGGAGGCTAGCTTGGAAAATGTCGAGACTGAACAGGTGCGATATGAGTGAGCAGAAAATGGGTGAGTGCGCAGACTTACCTGCGGAAGCGCTTATAACGAGGATGAAGAACGACTTCCAGTGGTGCATCCTAAAGTGCACCTTCCGACGCCTTTCCGAGTTCGTCTTCGAGTTCACTACCGATTTCATATTCGATTGCACCTTCGAGTGGATCATCCTATAACGCATCCCACAACGCAAGTTCCGTTGTTGCCGCTGGTGCTGCTTTGTTACTGGCCAGCCGTTGTTCTGAGGTGCATCATGACCAATTACGAGGGTACGCCGAGCGTGTGTGACACGTAATCGGTTCTCCTATCGCATCAAAGGAGAATAGTAATAACGGCCTGGCTTAATGCCGAGCGAGTTTTCAACAAGTAGGGCTGACGCTGCTGTATGTTCCTTATCTCACGCATTACCACTGGTCACTCGACATTAATCACACCGCATCGCGCTATGTTGGATTGCATCACCCCAAGTCGCACTGCATTCTGCGTGCATAAGCAGCTGAGCAAGTAGCAGTCATGTCCAACCAACTACTATGTGGATGCGACTAACAGGGTAGGAGAGGAGAGGACTGTGTGTGAGGAGTAAAGTACGAACACCTTGAAACACTGGCCCAACATTCCATGTCCACCGGAAAACGTACTGTACACCTGAATATAACATACAAAACCACCTCTCATCCCGTCCAAACCCGAACTTGAGCAAGGTCAAGCCTGATCCCCCGCTACAGAACCGCGTCGTGGGTTCACAGGCATGCCGCGTTCTGTAGGGCACGAGACAAAATGCGATACGAGTAACGAGGAGGTGAGTAACGAGAGCAGGGAGTCCAATTTCAACCACTAAGCGACCAACACTACTGTACGTCATTCCCCGTGACGAGTCGCGGTGAATAGCTTCGGGGGGGATCCTCCAACATTGGCGAGCGACGATCATGGCTTACGGAATGTTTCTGCTACCCAAGCAAACATCTTTGCCGATTATTCGGAAGTGTACTACTATTCAATATTTCGGCATGACAGCATTACAGTTGATTATGAAACAGAATTCAAGGAAGCATTAAGTTGCAAAAGCCCCACAACAGGAACCTCTGCAACGCATGCAGCAGAGTACGGTATCTCTACAAAAAAATCTAGACAAACAGCAATAAATACAACGGCTGTCCTGTACAGGGCAAAATCCCTGGTAAACAAAGAGTGACAAGGATCAGGAGCAGACTAAAACATGGGCGTTCCTGCAAGAAATCAAAGCAACAGGCCACATACCCAGTGCCCACATCCACATCCTTTACCCAGCAGCCCACCACCCACCCGATTCAAGCCCTTCCAACACAGACACAGAAGCAACCTCCCAAACAACCACCATGCAGCATTCATCCACCACTCATTCCTTCTCCCCCTTGCCCATGGTCCCCACGCCCTTGGCAAAGTCCTCCAGATTCTCCAGCAGATGCACAATCTCAGGCATGCTGGGCCTGTCAGATGCCACACGCGCTGTGCACAGCAGACCCAGCTTCACCGCGCCCAGAATCTGGTCAATCTCCCCGGGCTCCAGCTCCATCCGAGGGTCCACAATCGCCGCCGCGCCGTTCGCCTCCGCCCACCTGGCGAGCCCACGTTCTGCCACGTCCTCATCTGTGGGCTGCTTGCCGGTGATCAGCTGCAGCAGCATAACTCCGTACGCGAACACGTCACTCTTGAACGACAGCCGGCCCTGGCGGGTATACTCGGGTGCAAGATACCCGATAGTTCCAAACACCTTGGTCGACATGTGCGACTGCTTCACATCAATCTCCCTGGCGAGACCAAAATCAGCGACATGAGCCACCATCTGGTCATCGAGCAGCACGTTCCCGGGCTTCATATCGCGATGGATAATCCTAGGAGTGCAGTCGTGGTGCAGGTACTTCATTCCACGCGCGGTATCCAGCGCCACGTTCCTCCGCACCGACCACTTGCAGAAGGGATTATCCTTGGGAAGCTCCTTCATGAAGATGGTATCCACACTGCCGCCTGAGAGGAAGTCATAGATGAGCAGACGCTCCGTGGACTGCCCGGGGGCAATGTAGGCGGCAACGAGGACGACCAGGTTGCGGTGGCGGATGTTGCCCAGGGTTTCCATCTCTGCTTGGAACTCGCGGTTGCCCTGCGTGCTCTGCGCTGCCAGCCGCTTGATGGCCACTGAGCGACCGTCCTGAAGGCACGCCCTGTTTGCGGTGAGAGATGCGGAAAAGGGAAGGTGGAAGCGAGTATGAGGACTGGAAGCAAGGGTGCTGAATGGACGTCCTGTTTGTGGCCAAAGAGAAAGGCACAGCATGCGTGAAGGGAAACAACACCAACTTCTACTTTAGCATATTCCCACTCACAAAAGAGCACTCCCATCTGTCAGCCAGCACCATCGCAAACAGTATTCTCACCCAGCAGCTCTGCCTATAGCAAACCAGATCCTCCACGCCCCACCAGTCCGCCAAACCAGCCTCAAAACCATTTCCATGCACAAGCACCACATTAATCCAACCCTAAACCAACACCAAAACCAACGTACTTGTAGACGGTACCGAAGCCGCCTCGGCCGAGCTTGTACTTGTCACTGAAAAACTCCGTGGCTTCCAGGATGTGCCCCACCGTGAGCTTGAAGTCCAGCTTCTCAAACACCAGCATCGTGCCGCCCGACCACGGATCGTTCCTCCGGGAGAACCACCACGCCGCCACCGCAATCAGCACCAGGCCGACCACCGCGCCGACCACAATCCCCGCGATCGCGCCCGCGGATAGGCTATTCGGGGTTGGGCAGTCCGGGTAGCCGGGCATTCCGCACAGACCGTCGTTCCCGCTGATGGTTGCTGGGTTCGCGGATGCGAAGTAGCCGGAGCTGCCGCCGGGAATCGCGCCGGACAGCTCGTTCTGAGACACGTCCAGGTAGAACGACGACGACGCGTTGGCGAATCCGTACGGGATAGGCCCGGTGAAGTCGTTGTTTGATAGGTCCAGCGCAGTGAGGAACGCCAGGTGGCGCGAGGACGGCTGCGGAGCGATCTCTGGCGGAATGGTTCCCGAAAGCTGGTTACGCTCCATGGCGATTGCAGTGGCTGCTGTGAGGTTTCCGATCTGAGCTGGCAACTGGCCGCTCAGCTGGTTACCAGACAGGTCGAGCTTCCGCAGATTGATAAGATCGCCGACGGTGGAGGGGACGGGTCCTTGGAAGCGGGAGTTGGAGAGATCGAGCGAGGAAATGTAGACGAAATTATTGAGCGCTTCTGGGAGATTTCCGGAAAGGGAAGTGCTGGAAAGATTCACTTGAAGCACGCTGTAACCGCCTCCCATGTTCGTGAACCCTTCGTTAAGATCGCCGGTGATTTCGAGACCCGAAAGATCCAGATCCTCCAAACCCGTGCAGTTCCCGAGCAGGTTCGGCAGCTTGCCAGTAAACTGGTTGAGACCGAGGCGCAGCGAGTGGAGGAGGAAGTTACCGTTGCCAAGGCAGCTGGTAGGCACGGGAACATCCCCCGTGAAGGAATTGTTCGTCAGATCCAGAACAGCCAATGACTGGCTCTGAGCAATCCCCGCGGGAACAGGTCCGGAAAACTGGTTGTGGCTGAGATCGATTTGGCTCATGTTGCAATTCTCGAGAAATCGCTCCGGAAGCACGCCTGACATGCGATTCACCGACACGTTGAGGGCCGTCGGAACCATGTTGGCGAGTGTCCCGGTGCATTGCATCAGCGGCAGGGTGCCCGTGAGCTGGTTGCTGTCCGCGTCGAACTGCGTCAGCGTCGGAATCTGGAAGATCTGCGGTGGGATTTCGCCGGTGAGCTGGTTCTGGGAAAGAATGATGACCTGGATGTACGAGGCGGCCGGAACGGCTCCTAGGAATTTCCCGACGTCGCCGACAAGATTGTTCCTCTCGAGGTAAACCATGGAGAGAGCCGTGCAGCCCGAAAGGTCCCATTCGTCCAATTTGCCGCCGGTGAAAATATTTGAGAATTCCATCACGGTAACCATCGAGCACATCGCCTGCACGATGCTCACGGGCAGCTGGCCGAACTTGCCCGCCTCGTGAAGCCCCAGGAAGTACCCCTTGAAATCCTTCCATGCTGGCGGAATGACACCCGAGAAATTGTTGTAACCAATGTCGATGTACCCCGCGACGTCCTTCAGCCACACGGGCAGCGGCCCCGAAAGCTGATTGGTGCCAATCTCGATAAATCCAAGCTGCTTGCAGTTGGCCAACGAATCCGGAATCCCCCCCGTGAGCGAGTTCACACGAAGACTAAGCGACGCAAGGCTCTCCATCTGCCCCAAAGACGTCGGAATCTGTCCGCTCAGCCCGTTCAGACCCAAGTTAAGCGTGGCGAGTTTTTTCAGCTTCCCGATACCGCTGGGAATACTGCCCGTGATGTTATTCTGGGTAAGATCCAGCGTCACGAGGTTGGTAAGAGCGGAGATGCCCTCGGGAATGGATCCCACCAACCGGTTGAAACCGAGCGCCAGAGACTCCAGTTTCGTCAGCTTGCTGATCTCCTTAGGAATCACCCCGATAAGAGACGTCAGGCGGTTCTGTGTTCCGGTGATGTCGAGAACGATAAGCGAAGTCAGGTTGCCGATTTCCGGTGGAATACTGTTCATCGCGACACTGGGAACTCCCGCCAGGCCGGACTCGTAAAGATTCAGCTCAGTCACGGAACCGAGCTTGTTGCACTTGACTCCCCACCACTTTCCGCAGATGAAGTTATTTTGGCGCTGCGCCGGTGCAGTAGGAACGCGCCACGTCTTCAGCTTGTAGTACGCGTCGATGTTGCTGTTCTTGAGTGCAAGGAGGGCGTTCACTTCCACCCAGTTCGTCGGATTGGCCGCAGGTGCTTTAGGGGGCGGCTTCGTGAAAACGGCCTTGGGACCTGTGGAGGCAAAAAATCATAACAAATACACGAGGGACGAAGGAGAAAAGGTTAGTCAGTGAAAGAGGAGTGCAAATGTTGGAGACGCAACGCGAGCAGTTTATAGCGGTCAAAAGATATGTACACAAGAAGAGCAGGGGGAAGCGCCAAAAGCATGAAGGCCGACGGAGAAAGGAAGGGGAAGGGATGGGACACACGTGAGACCCACAGGTTGAAGGGAGAAAGGAAGGAAAAAAGGGAAGGACGAAGAAACGTAAACCAAGGAGATAGAGAGCACCTACCCCATCCCTGCAGCTTCCGGCGGTCACCAACGCTCTCCACCTGCACCTCCTCCTCCGTACCGACCACAAGCCCGCCGGCCCCGCGTGCAACGCCAACGAACCCAGCGACTCCACTTGAAGCGGCGGCGGCGGACGCGACGGAAACGGCGCAGGATGAACGCTCGAGCGCGCCGCAGGATGCTGTTTCAAGGTTGAAGTATGTGCCGTCAGGGCAGTTGTTCATAGAGGCCAGCTGCTGCCGGCGACACACGAGGTACGCGCTGGAGAAAGGGGCGAGGAGACAAAGGGAGAGAAACGGAGAGCAGGGAGATGCAACGGAGAGAAGAGGAGAGACTTGAGATATATCGGAGACTGGGAAGTGGAGAGTAGGAAGTGAAAGAGAGCTCGGGATATATACCATTCTGTTGCGAGATGTTGCGAGAAAACTTTGTGAGATGTTGCGAGCATACTTTTTGAGGAAGTGCATCTTCCTGGGCAGCACATGTGTGACAATATGACTTCTCCTTAAGAAGTAGCGAGAAGCAGTAATAGCTACTAAGTGAAAGCACTGAAACCAACAGTCCTTTAAGTTCACACGGACAGATAGAAAGAAAAAAAAACCTGTTGCGAGGAATACGTGAGTGAATTATTCCATATGATTTTTTAACCACACGCACGCGGTGGTGGGTGCTGCAGGTCATTCGCCTAAACACACTTCATCGAGCTGACACTAAGGCGACTGGGGTTATACCTGCATGGAGGGTCAGCGGTAGCGTCGGCGTAGACACCGTCGGCCTTTCCGTGGCAGAAGTGGCATCGAGGAACTGTGAACTGCATATCAGGGCATTGTGGAGAAGCAGGTGCAGGGGAACAGGTACGAAACTTTAGAAACCACCTTGTTACCCAGAACAATGCTTGAGAAGACGGAATGGAACGCCTGATGAATGAAGGTTGCCAATGAAAGCCAAAAGGAGCTACTGCAGAGGGTGCTACTAAAGCAATGAGCTGAGGGAGAGCCCTGAGAACGACGACGGAAAATGGTTGAGACGTGGTTGTAGCGACAACTTACGCTCGGCCGATGGCAGAAGTTGCTAGCAGCGGATGGTTTACGAGGTGCACGCGGTCGCGAAGACATGCTCATCCTCATGGCATGCCTCTCTTTCAGCTTCGGAATCATGTCTCTGGGAACGCTTGGGTGCCATCGCGAAATCTCGGGGTCGTCGACTATACCGTACGTGATGGCTACTAGCAGGCAGCAAACTGAGAGAAGCAGCACGCTTTGGGGTCTTAACCGACCCATGAGCCTAGTCGGTAACAGTATTGGAGAGTCAGGGTTGTGACACAAAAGCGAACCGGTAATCTAAGAGATTACTCTACAGTACGACACTTCGGCAAACAGCGTGCTATGATGCCCTAACACTATGAATTTTGTTGCTCAACTGACGGCAAACCTAACTCAAAAGGAGAAAGGAGAAGAGGAAGACTGAAGAAAGGCATGGAAGCTAGGCTGGAAAGAAAACACGGAACAGCGGCTATGGAGAGGGTTTCAGCTCTGGCGGAACAGTTGAGCAAATGTGCGTCTAGCTATGGTGAGCGGGATTTTGTTGGGGGGTTAGGATGGAGGTTGGGTCCGCCCACGCGCGCTCTGAGTTCCCCTCGCGCGCGTTATGCCCGTATCTCCAGTTCCGCCTGACCCACCGCGGAAGCTGTTCTACTGACTGTTACAGTACTTCACGCGAACAGCAGCGCAGTGCACTTCCACATCGAAGGCCTGCTGCACAGGCGAGGGAAGGGAAGCTAGCGACGGGCAGCTGTTATCCAAAATATCTCGTCATTTGGCTGGCAGTGATCTGTTTACAAAACGTAGCTCACGGTTCTGTCTGTTTCGGATGTATTAATAAAATATTTTCACGCTAAAACGGGAGGAACTGAACTTCCTGACTAGTAGTGCTTAGACGGTCTGTTTCCAAAATGTGGAGATCTTCAACTCCAGCAACAATATCCAGAAATTCGTGGACTGTTGGTGGATGAGAAATGTCGGCGACCAAAAAACATTTTCTCTTGGTCAGGTGATTTCTGGCAGCAAGCAGGTCATCTGCACGGTCTTGTGGCAGGGGGCAAGGGAGATTAGGGTGGCGGAGCTTCAACCACCGTAGTGCTGCTGTTGCTCCGCCGTAACCTGCTCAGCAGATCCATCTGCGCGCTAAACGCCAGAAAGGCCCACATTTTCTTCATCCCCCGTACCCATCCTCTCACACCAAGGCCAGGCCCCCGGCAGATTGTGAAACCGTCAAAAACGGTGGAAAGGGTTGTTGCGAAATGTAGTGATACCGTTACGAGCGACTCGTCAATCAATTTGTTACGCTTCATCCGTAAGAAAACAGCAGAGTATTAGTTCAAGCTTAGCTTATCATCCTGCAATGCCATGTATTCCCTCCAACATCCTTCTACTTTATGAGGAGCTAGACTTCCAAAGCTGATACTTGTGAGAATCAACAGGAATGAATGAACTAGGAAAGTGTAAGATACAAATATGAAACCTGTACCCCTTAGTGTCTACCCCACTACAGCCTACATAGGCTAAGGCATATATATCTGACACACCCCCATAGGCAAAGTGGGGGAGAACTAGGGGTCACAAGACCAGTCAAGCAAAGCAAAGAAAAGCAAGCTCAGGGTGGATCACAACGTCACCACACATTCCGAGCACCGGTTCAAAGGCCACAAGGCCAGTTCACATGCAAGTTCATATATAAAGGTAAACAAGCAAGTGCAGGTATATATAGATCACAGTACAAGGAAAGTCAAGAGGTAAGCAAGTGAGGCCAAGTAGGCACAAGACCTAGCATAGTACAGAAGCGCTGATGATCACAAGGCTGGAGTGCCTTGGTAAAGATATCAGCAGTGTTGGCCTGAGAGGCCACGTAAGCAAGACGCAGCTGACCACGCTGCTGCAGCTCACGAGCAAGGAAGTAGCGAAGAGCAATGTGCTTCGTTCTGTGCTCCAGTCTGTGCTCCCGACACAAGGCCAGCATAGCCTTGTTGTCTACGTACAGAACTGGAGGAGAACGAGGCGGCTCTCCCAGGTCAGTCAGCAAGTACGTGAGCCAGCGTAATTCCTGTGCAGCCATGGCCCCTGCGTAGATCTCAGCCTCACAGCTGGAGCTGAGAACAGAAGACGAGCGAGTAGACCGCCACGAAACAGAGCCGGAATCAAGGCTGAAGGTGTAACCCTGTGACGACCGCTGCGTAGCCAGGTCGTCAACCCAAGACGCGTCTGCGTGACCAGTGAGGACCACTGGACTCCGCCCTCCAAGCACGAGCCCCATGCCCGACGTACTGCACAGGTAGCGCAACACCCTCTTCGCGGCAGCCATGTGCTCTGGTCGGTGTCTCCCAGGAGCAACATAGCGAGCCAAGATGCTAAGAGGGTATGCCAGGTCAGGTCGAGTGCAGGTCATCAGGTACATGAGGCAGCCAACAAGCTCTGGGTACGGGCCACTCGGCTCTACGGACTCATCCGAAGGCAGAGCTGAGAGCGAGTGGCGAGTAGACAGAGGAGTGGCCTGAGGCGAGGAGTACGTGAAGTCGAAGCGCTGAAGGACCTGCTGCACCATGTGTGACTGAGTCAGGGTAATGGTGCGCCGTGCTCTGTCCCGGGTGATCTGCAAGCCAAGATAGCTGCGCAGTTCACCCAGGTCTGTGCACGTGTGTCTCTTCTGCAGCTCGGACTTCACGTGGGCGAGTCCAGCAGTGTCAGCTGTAGCAAACACCAAGTCGTCGACGTACACGAGGATGTAGAACGGCGGCAGCAAAGTGTCGGTGCGAAGAAACAGCGACGGGTCAGCAGTGGAAGGAGCAAACCCAAGAGCCGCAAGCGTAGTCCTCAGTGTGTCGTGCCACTCACGTGGCGCCTGGCGGAGACCGTAGACTGGCCGCCGGAGGCTCCACTGGGTACCAGCAGGAAACGACCCAGTGAAGCCAGGTGGGCGGCGCAGCCAGATCTCCTCGTGCAGACTGCCCTGTAGGAAAGCAGTGCTGAAGTCAAGGGAGTGAAGCTCGTAGTCACGCTGAGCAGCAACGTGCAGCAGAACCCGAAGAGTGGTCATCTTCGGGGTCGGGGAGAAGGTCTGAAAGTAGTCAACTCCCTGCCGCTGACTGAAGCCTCGAGCCACGTAACGCGCCTTGAAGACAGGCGGAGAACCCGGCGGCCGCTTCACCCTGAAAATCCACATGCCACTGACGATGTTCGCCCCAGGTGGGGGAACCTCGTCGACGTAGGTGCCTGTGGACTTCGAGGAAGCCATCTCTGCATCCATGGCTGCCTGCCACTGAGAGGAGTAAGGACCCTCTATCGCCTCTGCGTAAGAGCGCGGGGTCGGGATGTCTGGTGCATCCGGGTCTCCCTCAAGGGCAAGCAGCGTGGACACGAGATGAGGTAAAGCAGCAGCAAAACACTGGAACTCCTCCTGTTTGTCCTCAAGGACGTCCGTGCTAAGAGCACACTCACCCCCGACGGACGGAGGACAGACAGACACAGACGCAGACTCAGCAACAAGACTAGCGGCGTAGTCTAGACGACAGTGAGCAGCGAAGTCGACAAGCTCGGCAACTAAGGCAGACGCAGCAGTGGACTCAAAGGAAGGGTCAGTGACAACAGTGGCTAGGAAACGCGTGACAGTAGGACTGGCAGCACGAAGGGAGTCAGACTCCGGGTCAGCAAGAGCAGGAAGAGAGGACGCTAGAGGAGACGACAAAGGGACACGCTGTGACGCAGTGGAAGGACGCAGTGCCATCTGATGCGTGCCCGGGACTGCAGGAGGACGCGGACGTGGAACACGACGACTAGTGCGAGCAGCACGAACAGGGGACACAGGACGCGACTCAGGCTCACGACGCTCAGCAAGACCTCCAGTAGGACCAGCGTAGGGAGAAGGAGCAGGAAGAGGGGAGGCCAGCTGTAACTGTGACTCGGACTGGACAGGCAGTGGACACTCTAAAGACGGAGCAGGACTGGAAGAAGGTGGAAGACCAAGAACCTGCTCAAGGAGCGGAACGAAGTACGGCCTCGGCCACGCAGCACCTCCAGAACCAGCAGGGACAACACCAGCACCGGCAGCGTCAGCTCCAACTCCAGCAGCACCACCAGCTCCAGTACCTCCAGCAGCTCCAGCTCCAGCAGGACCACCAGCAGACACAGCAGCTCCGGCTCCAGTACCTCCAGTAGCACTCACTCCAGCAGCACCACCAGCTCCAGCTCCACCAGTAGCTCCAGCACCAGGAGCACCACCAGGCCCAGCAGCTCCAGTACCTCCAGTACGAGCACCTCCGGGACCCGTGGCTCCAGCACCCCAAGTAGAAGCAGAACCTCCAGTACCGGCTCCAGTAGCACCTCCAGCTCCAGTACCTCCAGCAGCAGCAGAACCTCCAGCACCGGCAGCACCACCAGCTCCAGCAGCACGGCTCCAGCGCCGAGCAAACCACTCGCGCAGCTCCTGTGGAGAGGGAAGCTCCCGCCGGGACAAAGCACCCGAAGGACCGCCAGGTCCAGCACGCTCAGGCTCCACACCCCCACTCCCAGCAACCCCAGGCTCAGCACCCCCAGAAGCAGCACCCCCAGGCTCCGCACGCTCATGCTCAGCACCCCTAGACCCAGCACCCCCAGGCTCCGCACGCTCAGGCTCAGCACCCCCAGACCCAGCACCCCCAGGCTCCGCACGCTCAGGCTCAGCACCCCCAGACGCACCAGAGTCAGCAGCTACCTCGACAGGTTTGACTGCATCTACCTGGGACACACCTGAGGGGGCAGGATCCTGAGGGGGGAGGGGGTCTACCGGGGGGGGACCGGGAGCGAGGAAGAGCGGCGGGGGGGGGGAGGGGGGCAGTGCGGTAGGGGAAGAGACGGTAGTACGGAACCGACTCGTCAAACGTGACGTCCTGGGAGGACAGAACACGACGCGAGGTGGGGTGGTAAAACTGCCAACCAGGCGCGTCAGGGGGAAAGCCGAGGAAGACGCAAGGAACAGCACGGGAGGACAGCTTGTCCGCAGACAAGTCTCGGACGAAAGCTCGAGATCCCCAGACACGGAACGCAGACGCATCACCAACCTTCCCCGTCCACCGCAGAGTAGGGGAGGTCTCCGGCAGGGAGACCCGGGGCTGAAGGTTGATCTGATGCGCCGCGTACTGAACCGCGAACGGCCACAGAAAATGGGGAGCAGCCGCATGGATCATGGACGTACGAGCGACATCCATGACCATGCCAATGCGGCGCTCAGCAATCCCATTTTGCTGTGGAGA